CCGCAACGGTCACGGCTCCTGCCCTCTCTCCTCCCTCGCCCTCCCAACTCTCCAGACGGCGACGTTCGCCGAAGCCTTGGGCACCTCAGGAGCCGGAGCCGCCGCCCTGGGCCCGGCCGCTCCTCCCGCCGGTGCTCACCTGTCACCCTGGGGCTTTCTCCCACTCCAGCCGTTGCTGTCGCAGGTCAAGCACTTTGCTCGGAGAGACGCTCCTTGACAAAAGCGCGGAAGGCCCCCGCGAAGAAGAAGACGAGATGCCGAAGCGGAACTCCCATCAGAGACAGCTCAGCACCGCCTGACAGAACGCGCATGCGCGGGAACGACCCGCCCTGAAGAGGCAAGAGCGAGCGCCCCTTTTAGCTACGTGCCGAGCGACTGGCTGGTGAAGGAGGACGCATGCGCAGTGAGCTACAGGGGAACTTCTCCCAGTTTCTGTAATCCTTTTCAGGAGGCCGACAGACCCTTTCTTTCCATGGAAAGAGCCTCATTTTCTGGAGGGCGGAGCTCACTTTCTATTCTCTCTCAAAACAACAACAACACGACGCGAGAAAACGAAACAGTGTCAGGTTCCTTACAAACATATTTCCACCACAAAATAGGGGGAAAGAACTACAATTCCCAGCATGCCAGGCGGCGCCTGCAAGCCCCTCCTTCGTACCAGCTGTCAACCGGAGTGTCTCGGAGAAGCCGCGCTTGCTGGAAACTGGCCTGGGTAGGCCCGGCTGAAGCAATGAGGAAATCTCCCGAGGGGAGCCTACGCCCTGCATGGCGTGCACACCTATGGCCCCTTGCAGGATGCCGGACCCTCCAGCTTTTCTATCGCCCCCCGTTAGCGATAATCAGAAGTGATAGATGTTCCAAACCTCTGAAGGGTCGTAAGTCCCACCTGTAAGAGGATTCCCAGTGTGATGCAGTGGATAGACTGACGGAATGGGACTCTGGAGACGAGGGTTCAAATCCCTGTTCAGACATGGAAACTCACTGGGGGAGTGGAACTGGTAAAACCACTTCTTAATTATCCCACCTACCTTGAAAACTGTTACGCTTGCTGTACCTCAGTACCGGCTTGACAGCACAAGAACACACACACATAGGTTCCACCATCTGCCCTACAGTCAGTTTTTATAAAAAAAGGAACAAATCAAACTCATCTTGTTTTTCAGGACATACAGATGCTAGAAGGTTCAAACTTTATATTGGGTATTGTATTAAAAACCAGTTCTTCAGCAGGTTTTCCCCCTAATATAATGGGGTGGTAAGAAGTACAGCCTTCCAGATGTTGTTGAACTGCAATTCCCATCAGCTGTAGCCAGCAACATCAGTGATGATGGGCACTGCAGTCTAATGACACCTGGAACATTATGCATTCCATATTACTGTGACAGAATATTGTCTCAAATTTTATTCCAACAGCACAATTCTGTGCATGCTGACTTGAAAGTAAATCTCACTGACTTTAGACAGTCTTATTCTCAGTTTTCAAACTTAAGGAACTGAGATCTGAGAGGTAGTTGTTACAGTTCCTGCATTTGCAAGCTGCATCTCATAGCTCAGCATTTTTTCTCTAACTAATTCAGAAACTTGATTCTGCAGGACTGAAAACCCATTCACAGAAATGGTCAAAATATTGCATCCATGGACTTCCGACTTGACGCCGCGACAAGACAGCAGCAGGAGGACAAAGCTCTGTCCCCTGGGCTGAAATTCTGACCTGCTTGGGACACCATACGGTGTCGGAACCACCCCGGAGAGGTGGTGAACTGGGGGGGGAAGCCTGTTGATCATGGGGGAAACGGCGGTCACCCCCGTTCAATCCAGGAAACTCCCTAATCAGCCAATGGGCAGAAACAAGCAAACCTTTGCTTGCTAGTCGTCGGCAGCTGACTAATAAGAAACAACAATCAAGTGATACAACATCAACGTTACTATGGGTGAGATAACTAATTGCTTGTGATTACACCTGGACAATACAATTCCTATATATAGGAAAAAGAACCTTCTGTCACTCTCATGAATCATTAGCGGCAGTTAATCTGGAGAGAGGATAGTTGATATGAAAAAATAATATGAAGATTAATTGGATTTAACTACTGTACTCATTCAAATACATTTAAAAATACTTTAAGAACATTATAATTTGG